GACTGCATGGTTGGTTTGAACCACAAGATTGGTGGTTCAAGCTCACCAGCTGCTCCTTGGAAACCCTGTACAGGGCACTATGAGTAAGAACTCACTCGATGGCATCCAATAACATTAGCAACAAGCTTGTTGAGGGGAAGAAGCAAACATTGATACCTCATTGTGGTTTTGAGTCCTCTTGATCCTCCTTTCCTGGGCCAGATTCCTCGGGAGAACTGGGACCTTCTTCTAGCCTCCTTTCTTTGAACAGTGGCTCATGCTGAATGGCTTCTGTCTCTGTGGCAGCCTTCAGCAGGATGTAGGGAGTGTATACTGGGGAATCCCTAGCCTCCCATTTTTACAGGTCTCTAATATGGGAAAGGGATCCTTGTGGGCAGCAGAAACTGCCCAAATCCACAACCCAAAGTAGACTGTCATTAGGCCTAGGTGGAGAGATTTGGCTCTGAACTGCAAGTGGTGAACTACAGTAAGAACTACTCATCTCTGAGCCATTTCCCCCATCTCTGGTGTGGAGGAGTTTCCTCTTCATGGAAATTTCCACAGTATGACAAGAAGCATGGAATGGAAGTAATCTTTGTCCACCTGAGTCCCAGGCACAGATCAACAGGGCAATAAGCATGCAATGACTGTCACAAGCTCTTGTTGTGGTCACAGGCCCATTTGCATTTTGGCCAGTGCTCTTATTTTGATTTGGTTGTGAGAAGAGTGTCTTGACTAGTGGTGGGAAGGCAGAATGCTGAAAAGAGGGCCAGTGTGAGCAGGGATTCAGTAGCAAGGAGGAGTCTCCAGAGCCAAACTACAGTCCAAACTTAGAATTTCCAGGCCTTTATCCAGGACTCCTCTTTACCCATAAGGAGCATAGACAGGTCTGGGCACCCCCAAACGCACAGTGCTAAGTAGCCAGAAGAGAGATAGGGCAGGCAGAATGAGGCTCTGTAGAGCCAGGAGTCCTCAGACAAGCAGTGCCTTATCTGGACTTTACTTTCCTCATAAGCAACATTGTAGTTGTTTAGTGCCGTCGAGTCGACAACCTTGTATAGGGTTTCCGAGGAGCAGCTGGTGAGTTGAACCGCCGATCTTGTGGTTGAAACAGCTTTGCATTCTGGCACATTAACCCACAGCGCCACACCAGGACTGCCATAAGCAACATGTTGTTGTTAAGTGCCCTCGAGTCGGTTCCAACCCATAGTGACCCTGTATAGGGTTTCCTAGGAGCAGCTGGTGAGGTGAGCTTGAACTGCCAACCTTGCAGTTCAAACAGCTTTGCAGTCTGGCGCATTAACCCACAGCGCCACACTAGGACTCCATAAGCAACATGAGCAGTTGGAATTGGGCTGCACTATCTTTATGGTCCTGTCCAGCATCAGTGTTGTATGTTCTCTTGTGTCCTGGAATCAAAAGGTCGACACTGTTTGAATCCTGATTGTGTCCCTTTAGTAGCTGGGTGACTGAGTGGACTGACTTAGCCTCTCTGAGTGTCTCTTACCTGCACTATATGTGACACTGGAAGGAAGGTGTGTAGGAAAGCTGTGAAATGACTAGCTTAGTTGCTGGGAGAGGGCTGCTAACCAGTACTCAGCACCATGTCCTCCTCTTCCATTTCCTGGATTGCCACAGGGAGTGGAACATCCACTTCTCCTTGGTCCTCTTCCTCAGAAGCTACTTAAAAGATGAGAAAGCACTTTGAAAATGACACTAAAATTATGAAATATGAGGTTTCTGGTATGTTTGGCCTCTAGTTTTCATCCTTGGGCATTCTCTTTTGTGCATATTACAAAATGGTATACAGAAGCCTTGGATCTGTTTCTCAGGATTATTTGGTGAGTGCGGGTATGTGGAGAATGCTATTCAGAGAGACTGCATGAGAACTGATGTGTGGGCAGTTGAGTTGGTTATTGGCATCTATGAACATACTTTCTCTTAGAAAGTTTTTCTGGAAACATGTTTGGACTTTTAGGCTAGCCCACAAAAATGTTTCTTAAATCTGTGATGCGGCTGAATGAAAAAAGGAAGAAAGCAATGATGTTAGCATTATCATTGATCCCAAACAACATGATTTACCCCCAGATGGTATTTTAATAACTTGAGTACCTGACCACTTATCTCTGGAGAGCAGGAGACACCTGTGGACGTGCTGACAGGAGGAGATTTGAAGTCCTCCTCTGGTCACTGAGTGCTGGAGTGTGCCAAGGTCTTGCTAAGTACTGCCCTCCCTGCTCCTCTGTGTAATAACAGTGCTTCTCCCACAAACTACCTTAAGCCGTCTGCGTAGGACTTTAATGTGAAATAAAGCAAGAGAGGAAGGTTTTCCTAAGGCAACTATACAAAAGGCAGAGAAACAAGGACCTGCTATAAAGTTAAGTAAGATTGGAATATTAACAGAGGGTGTGGTCATAACTTGTCCATGGTAGTTTGGAAAGACTTTTTGATGGATACTGATTTAAAAGTAATAATAATAATGACTACAGATGGGTAACTGGGAAGAAATGCTGTGGGCCATGTTCTGTGAGAGAGAGAGCGTTCCCTGTCCTGACCACCAGGTGATCTGGAATCTATTTTAGACTTTAGTCCAGAGTCTTCCTCATAATAAGTAACCAATAATTAAAGTGCTGAATGAATTAATAGTTCCTAAGTTGCTGCTATTGTGAGCTGTTAGCTCATGGTGAGCTTTTAGAACAGAGTATAACTACCCCATTGTTGTTGTTAAGTGCCTTCGAGTTGATTCTGACCCATAGTGACCCTGTATGGGGTTTCCGAGGAGTAGCTGGTGAGCTTGAGCCGCCAACCTTGCAGTTCAAACAGTTTTGCAATCTGGCACATTAACCCACAGCACCACATGTTTATGAAAACAGATGACCATGACCTCATCTTTCTCCCTAGGAGGCAAGTACTTAATCTCTGTGCCACTAGGGCAGAGTTTCCAAGGCTATACATTGTATGAGAGCAGATCACTAGATCTTTTCTCCTGTGAAACTACTGGTGTTTGGTGGTTTCAAACCGCTAACCTTTCAGTTAGTTATACGATTAACTATTATTCCACCAGGGGTCTTTATTGCAGTTCTGGTGTCTTCTATATGGAATAGAAATAAAAAAAGTTGAATTATGTCTTAAAACCTGACTGGATTAGTCTATAGTTTTTAGAACAAGCCCAAATGGTGGTCTTATCAGTGGGCAGATGTGCAAGTCATAGCCTCAAGAAGTTTGCCAAGGAGATCACATCTTTATTCCATTCTCAGGAAACCCTGGCAGGTATCAGCTCTTTTCAAGCCCCCAATCCCCACAAATAAGTCATTCTCCAAATCCCACCCATTCATTTTTAGCATTTAAAATTTGGCATCTTTACAGAGATATAATTGATATACAGTAATCAGTGTATATTTACAGTACACAATTGAATAAGGTTTGACATATGTATATACCATGAAATCACCACAATCAAGTCAGTGAACTTATTCATTATCCCTAAAGTTTCCTTGTACAAGATTTCTCCCTGCCTGCCTCCCTTCCAAGGCAATCTGCTATCTTTCACTGCAGATTAGTTTACATTTTCTAGAATTTTATATAGATGTAATTTGATAGTATGAACATATTTTTTTTACTATAGTTTCTTTCACATAGCACAATCATTTTGAAATTCAATAGTGTACATCAGTAGTTTAATCCGTTTTATTGCTAGCAGCATTCCATTGTATACTAGTATGTTGATCAGTTCACATGGATATTTGGGTTCCTTCCAGATTTGGCTTGTTATGAATAAAGCTGCTTTGAAATTCATGTACAAGTAGTTGTGTGGACATATCCTTGAATTTTAGCCATTCCAGTAGTTACCCTTTGGGTTTCACTGCTTTTTCCTAGTGACTATTGGTGTGTTATATGCCTTGGCATATACTTACTTGCCATCATATATCTTCTTTGGTTAAATATATATTTAAATAGCATATTTGTTTAAATCTTACACCTATTTTTTAAATTGATTTGTTTTCTTACTAAGTTTTGAGAGTTCTTTGTATCTTCTGGATATAAATAATTTTTTTTTTTTTTTATTTTCTTAACTTTATCTCTCAAAGAGCACTTTTTATATTTTAATCAAATCTGGTATATTAATGAGCCTATCTAAGGGCACTTAACAGCAAGGACAATTTACCAGTGCTCTCTTTTGTGGGTTGTACTTTTAGTGTCATGTCTAAGGAGTTTTGCCTAACCTAAGTTACTTTGCTGAAATCTGAAATACTGCATTGAAAACTGGTGCCACTTTTTAACAACATTGTGGTAGAATCTGTATACTAGGTAAGTTTAAAGCTTCAGAACTGGGAAGAAGGGCACTTCTCTCTTTGTGTCCTCATCCACCTGCAACTGATGAAGGTGTTATTTTTTGTGATCAGTGAGCTGTGTAGGATGCCCATCTCCTTTAGTCTGGTCTCAGTAGATGAATGTTGAATTGTTTCACCCAAGGTTCAAGGCATTTCCTTTTTGTTCCTTGCGCATTCTTGAATGTTCATGCCAGGATAGTCTTAGACCAATCTCATACCTTTCTTCATCTTTTTTCTTATTTTTGAAGTGAGTGATGGCACTCTCTTTTAGGCACATTAGGTCACTGGTAAACTCATTTGGAAAATTAGAAGAATATATACTGAATTTTCAGGTGTTTTCACCACAAAAATTGGACATTGTTGAACTTTGTTCTCATTGTATCTATATTTTACCATACTTTCTAGTGTTCTCCTGGATGTAATATCACAGTGCTTGGCTGTCACAGAGTTTTGTTGGATTCAGATTTTCACAAGAGTGTAAGGGAAAGGGCCATAGGATAAGGGAGATCAGATACACTGCTACTAACATGCAGGCTGGACAACTAGTTGTTTCTGTGTTGGACAGGCATACATCTGTGTTTGTAGTTAATGTCTTTATTAGAGAAAAACAAAATGAACACACTGACCACAATAGTGGAGTTGTTCTATTACAGTCCATAAGAACTCACTTCTTTCTCTCTTTTATTGCAGGTATTTCTTGGTGGATTTTCATGCACCACCAACAATTGTTGAGAACATAATGGAACACTTGTCTCGAGACATCGATGTGATTAGACGGAATGTTGTAAAGCACCCACTAACTCAGGAAGTAAAAGAATGTGAAGGGATTGTCCCAGTGCCACTGGAAGAAAAATTATATTTCACAAAGAAGAAGAAGAAGTGAGAAGACTCACCTGCTTTTAGCTTTATTTTTAATTCTCTTACTTTTGAGCATCATGAATTAATAATGCTCAAGCTTGATTTTTATGTAGGATTGTGTTGCAGGTGTTATTTGAAAATTTTCTAAACTATTTTTGGTGTTTGATCCCTTTGCATGAGAAGTGAGTAAACAGCTCATTTAGAGACAATCAGAACATCCTTTTGGGTCTTATTTTGTTTTTTTATTCATTTCTTCGTCACTGACAACTCATTACCTAAACACACCATCACCATTTTGTAGAGCAAAACTTACAAAACTGCCATGGATTGCAAGCTAGGCATTCAGAATGTGTATCCATGTAAAAATAAAAATTTTAAGCTGCTCTCTGACTTTTGATCAGGGTAATAAAGATGATTTGTTAAAAGCTCAGGGAAACATTTTGTCTCATCGCCTACCCAGCTCAGTGCCCTACCAGGGCCTGGCAGCTCCAGCTGTGTTCTATGTGCAGATGAGGAAATGGGAGGGGCTACCTGCTCACCCACCAAAGTTCAGATGCTGGGAGACATCCAGGGAGGGTGGGTAGGCTTGAGAGTGTTCCTGACCACTTGGCAGTTTTCTTTTTCCTTTTCTCTCACAACTAATTCGTTGCAGTGATGGCTGCTTTCTTTGCACCCAGTTTGCAGGGATTGTGTGTGTTCTGTGGCAGTTGGGCCCTGGAACTGCTCTGTCATTCCTTTTGCCATTAGCACCTGCTTCCTCTGCTGTCTTCTTAGCATTAAGCAGGCCTCTGTGAAGGATTTGCCACTTTTGAATTCTTGCACCCACCTCATTCTGACTAATGAGTCAGAAACTTGTTGCTTTTGAGCTGGGGATGCCCAAAGAGCTAGCAGGCCCCAGTGTCTTTGACCAGTGGCCTCCTGTGCTTTTAGAGGGCTTATAAGAAAATAAACACTTTCTTCCTCTTTCAGTTTTGATAATCAGGTCTCTTTTTTAAAAAAACATGTCCTGGAAATAAAAGCCAAACACATTTGTTTAGAAGATTTTGTTGTTTTCAGCAGAGCTGGGGAAGTGATTATACTTTTGAGATGGTCCCAGTACGAACTAGCCTTTGTATGCTTGAAATGAATGATTAGGGTCTCTAGATGAAGCACCTAAAAATGGAGGTTGCACAGTTACATTTGATTTTCAGATTAAGTAATGATCAAATATTGCATGGAGCATGCTAATAATACAAACTTGTTGTTTATCTTAACTTCCAGTGTAACTGGGTGTGTCCTGTATTTTAGCTGGCAAATTTAGTATAATCCACCTAGAAGCATAAGTAGTAACCAGCCATAGACAGGTTTGTTCTGCTACAGCAAAGCATAGAAAGGAAAGGAAGTCTACCCCCAACAGGCTGGCTTTTCAGCTGACTTCACCTGCAAGGAGACGAGTGTGAAGAGCAAGCATCATGAGTTATGCACAACACTACCACTTGTGTGCTCCAGTATGCTCACACTCTTAGACCTTCTGCCCACCAGAAAACTGATCCATGACTCCACAGTTATCAAGTGACAGAGCTGGGATCTTGTGCTAGGGACTCTGATGCCATGTGGTATTTTCCATCGTACAACATTGAGGGTATCTTTGCTCTCTCAGTTTAGCCATCTTGGTGTCTGGGGTGAATTATTACCACTCAGGTATCGGTACTCGTCTTTATGGGCTGGGTGTTACTGGCACAGTTTCCTATGCTTATGTGTCCCTGGGAAGACGATTGATGTCAGAGCCCTGCCGCACTGTTTAGAGAGTGTTCCAGGAGGAGGTTAACTAAGTAGGACAGCCATGTGTGTGCCAGGTGCCCTTAGAAGTTCCAAAATGAACCACTGCGCCTCCTATCTACACTGCTGACTCATAGCTGGGCCCTGGCCACCTCTGGCCAACAGGATCCCTGATGTTTGAGCAGGGCACCTGTGCAGGTGATTTCCAGGTGGCACATTGGCTGTCAGAGCTAGGAGTATTTCAGGTCCAGTCCATGCGTATGGGGGGCCAGAGGCTTTGCTTTGGTGTAGATGACTATGAACAGAGAACTGGGAGTGAGTACAGCAGTGAACAAAGATGCCCCTTGACCTTGTAGAGGCAACAGTCTGACTGAGAAGGCAGACAGCATGTCTGGTGCCCCAGGTGAGTGATGGGAAAAACTACAGAGTCCTACAAGAGGATGTAGTAGGGAAGTGACTTCAGTAGAGACCTGAAGGACGAGGAGCCAAGCAAATGAGGGCAGTCAGAACTCTGCTGGAGAACAAAGGAGAAAGGAGGTAACAAGGAATCAAGGGCAAGATCTGGGAGATTGGTGACCCCTGAGGAATAGAGACAATGGGATTTGAATCAGCTGAAGTGAAACATGTCTCATAAGCACAAGAGGCTAGATCTGAAAGTGAAGCAACAACTCTGGAATGTTCTTTCATTCTCACATACAAAGGGCATCTTGGATTTGTAACCTTGTCTGTTTCCAGACCATTTTGGACTGAAATTTCTTTTCTGGAAGTATGGTTGTATCTGACTGACACTCTTGTCTTGACAACTGCACTGTAGAATACCTTAAGTGGATCTTTCTTCTCATCTGCATTTGAGGAGGCATATGAAGGGAGCTGGAAGCTCTGGTAGCGTAGTGGTTACGAATCGGGCTGCAAACCTTAAGGTCAGCGGTTCGAAACTACCAGCCGCTCCGTGGGAGAAAGATGAGGCTTTCTACTCCCGTAAAGATTTACACCCTCGGAAACCCTATACAGGGTCGCTATGGGTCGGAACCGACTCGACGGCACTTAACAACAACAACAACAATGAAGGGAGCTGGGTGAGGGCCACAAACTTGAACCGCCCTTTTAAGATGTAATGGTCAGGGTAGATGACGTAAGTGATATTCTATATCACTGCCCTTACTTTTCTGCCCAGGGCTCAGTTAATTCTCTTTCATAATTTCTTTAAAGACTTGTACATTTCCCATCCAGTTTCCTCCTACCTGCCTGTAGGAAAGTGTGTACCTAGGCAACATCCTAAGAGGACCCCTAGGAGTCCCCGGTGATAGTTACACCTCTGGGGATCAGCAGTGCTCTAGTCAAAGTCACAGTTCAGACCTATGATAAGCTAGGGCTTTTTGTCTTTTTTCTTGAAGAATGGTTCACTTGGTCCCAGGGAAGCAGAGAATGAGATGATGGTGCCTATGGTCCCAAGAAGACAGTGTCTCAGGTGGCCTGGAAGGCTGCTTCCTGTAGACATTTACAAATCATGGAAGCAATCACTCCCTGGCAGCTTAGTTTTAGAATTTTGCTAAAAGACCAGACTCATTTCAATTGAGATGAAATATTTGATAGCATCTAAGACACAACTTAAATGTATAAGGTTGGCGGTTCAATCCCACTAGCCGTTCTCAGAAACACTATATGGGGTTGATAGGAGTTGGAACCTATTGTTTGCTCACCAGGAGCAAAACAGTAAGAAGGTAACCAAAACACAAGAAAAGTCTACAACCACATCTACCCCGAGACCAGAAGAACTAGGTGGTGCCTAGCAGCCACTACTGACTCTGCTGACCAGTGTCACAAGAGATGGTTCCAGGTAGAATCGGAGAAAAATGTGAGGCAGAACTTAAATTCTTAAGAATCAAACAGGAGCAGTAGAGAACAGAGGACTCCGTGAAACTATCATCCTAGACCAAAACCTAGGCTAAACCCAGAACCAAGTCTTTCCCCTGAGATCACCTTTTATCAAAATAATAAGTACCACACAAAGGATGTTCCCTGTAAGACGGGTTCTCTACTTTAAAACCATCAGTATGAAACCAAATGATCAACAGTTACTCAAAAGCAAAGATGAGAAGATGGGGACAGGGGAACCAGAATTCTGGAAAGGAAACAAAACAATGTTGGCACATTGTGATTAATGTTATTGAACCATTTGTGTGGACATTTGTCAAATTTGCAACTAACTTAGTTGCAAACTTTCATCAAAAACTCAATAAAATAAATATTTTTAAAATGATGAGGATTGGAAATGTGAGCTACAAGGTCATGCTCCTGGTTCCCGTTGAGCCTGAGAGAGCTGTTTTCTATCGCGGCACACCTGAGGGGTGTAAGCTAGTGCCTTTAGCAGGAACTCAACATGGATGGATTCCTTTACTTTCCTAGGGAGTGTCCATGAGGCAAATGTCATCCTCATGTTACAGATGAGACACCCGAGGCCACCAAGGGAAGAGTTGGGATTGAGACCCAAATCTAACAACAAAAGCCCCCTTTTAGCCCACCACACCATAGGTCATGCTTGAAGAACTAGCTTGCTCCCGTGTACCCCTTCCCACCGCACCTACACCAAGCCCTTAGGCTACTTTCCTGTTAGAGAAGAGTGGAGCTGGAACTCCTTGGGAGCATGTTTAGTCAGGTCTTCAAAGGAAAGATCTGAGAACAGCAGAAGAAAACATGTAGTGTACTTGGGAAGACAGGTGGCCTTTTTGTGAGTTTCTACCTGTTCCATCGTTTCCTGTAGAGCCTTTTTCTCTGTGCATTGCTCCAGGGAGTATTGTGGAACACATAGGTAGCAGGTGCTGTCCTGGGCAGGATACAAAGCTGAAATTGACAATGTCTATGTCTGGGGCATCATAACTCTCACATACCTCTCCTAGGTAGAAATACCCAGCTCTCTGAAACACTGTTGTTAATTGCCATTGAGTTGATTCCCACAGCAACCTTGTTCAAGGTTTCTGAGGAACAGCTGGTGGGTTTGAACTGCTGACCTTGTGGTGTGCAGTCCAGTGCTTACCCTACAGCACCACACCAGGAGTCCTTCTGAAACATAGGCCATAATAAAAATAACAATTGAAATTCAAACCAAGTACTGTGGAACCGGAGAAATTGATTCACTGAGACTTGAAGTGGGAGGCAGGGTAGTGAAGCTTTCCAACAGAGATGGTGTTGAACAGCTAGTGAAGCATGGGTGGTGGGAAGCAGGGAGCTGGCAAAACTACGGTGTGCTTCAGGAACACCTGGGAGCAG